CCCCAATCTAAAATCTACGCCTGCCATCACGAAACGCATAAATTTTCCAATCAGTTTTGTTAGCGGTTTATTTATTTCACCAGATTGCTTCCCCGGCAAACGCCGTGACCTGCCTACTTATCCTCCACTTTTCTATCCACGTTTACGGTTCACTTTGAGCTATCTTCGCTGTTGTGGCGGAGACCACAGACGGTTAGAGACCGGCGCCTGGCTCGGCTCCAAAATCCAAGGAGGGAGTTGAGAGCCCTAGTACTAACCCTTGTAAGGGAGGGACTCCGAGGTAGGTGGGCCAAGTACAGTGTGGCAAAAGTTTGAATGTGTGGGATCACGGTGTTCATCAGCCGCTGATAAGGCGAGAGCGCGCAGTCGAAAGCGCCGAGTGAGGAAGCCTAAAGGACCGAGTTCAAGTAATCTGTCGACCCTTCCCTCCACTTTCTTTCAACTGCTTCCGCAGCACCACGTGATTTGACCGTGTGTGCTGGGTGTAGTTCACTAGGACAGAAAGCACACTTCGCAGCGGGAATCTCAGTTCCACCACTGATCACGAGTGGGCCTGGGGTTCTCGAAGTATAAAAAGTTTTGCGCTACGAAACGCGAATAAGTTGCTTTCTGTCCTAGTGAACCATACCCAGCACACACGATCAATCCACGGTGCTGCGGAAGCGGTTGAAAGACAGTGGAGGATAAAGAGGGGGCACGGTGTTTGCCGGAGAACCAATCCGGTGAAATGCATAAACCGCTAACAAAATTGGTAATGCACTATCAAAGTTTCATGATGGCAGTTGTAGTTTATACCCCTGCGTCATGATGGTAAGGGGAACTTTATTCTGGCAAACCTTTCGACCGAATACCCATTTCTGAAGGCCTGGACCTGGCCTTAAGCTTGCGAATTACATGCCACTTCTTCAAAGCCTTTTCCACTGCTGTATTTCTAATGTTCTGCATTAACGCATGTAAAACACCCAAAACTCAAAAGATAGTTTATATCCATTGCAGTGCTCAGGCCTTTGAAAACGACGAGGAAGTCGAAACGTTGGCCAGTATAGCATTTCGCGCCCATCAACCTCGAGGCACAAGATAAAGTACAACTCTACCAACAACGAAACTGTCGATTTTTCAAGATGAAAGGACTTGAAATTATTTCCAACTACCATCCATCAACCACTGAGCACACTCTCCGCTAATATACATTTTGCTGCCATGGCATCGGGAAGGGATGGCAGGAGAGGGCTGGGGGAGATGGAAGAAGGGAAGCCAACCGCGCGCGTAATGGCAGGAGAGGGCTGGGGGAGATGGAAGAAGGGAAGCCAACCGCTGTTAAGGTTTTGTCTAACTCATTGTTGAGGGGCCAGTCTAACGTGATGTTTCATCGCCATAACTCCACTCGCAGCACTATATAAACAACTCCAGGGCATAGTTCCTGCCATTCTTCTTGGTCTTATGGTCGTAACTGGAAGAGAATGTAGAGAGGTGAGGCAAATGGAGCGCGAAACCGACCGACAACGAACCCGAGCTTCGAATCGTTATTGAAGTTCCATACCAACGCGATGTAATGATTGCTAAAGACCTTCTAGTATACAAGACACCCATTTTCCGCTTACGCGTCCCTTTTGGTTGCCGGGTGACAAAAGTGCTTGTGTAATAAATAACAGATCTCCATTTTTGATTTGCGAATACTTTTTCAGAACTCTAGACGTTGAGATGAGTAATCACAAAGAAATCAGTCTCAGTGAGGTAATTCTATAAACATTCCTATTCTAGTTTTTTCCTGGAACGGCAGATGCTTTCGTATTTTTTGCAAATAATGAAACAAGATGGTGGTTCTCTGAATGTACAGCTTCTGCAGACTTTGAATATTTTGTTTGAAAATATACGACACGAAACTTCTCTTTGTGAGTTCTTTTTCGATTTGTAAGTGGCTTTTGTTTTCTACTCTCATATTGTCCATCATAATTATTACATTTGCAGATTTTCTTTTGAGCAATAATCACGTCAACTCGATCATCACCCACACTTTTGATTTCACAAATGAGGAGATCATGGCATATTATATATCTTTTCTGAAGACTCTTTCTTTCAAATTGAATCCTTCAACCATCCACTTCTTTTTCAACGAGGTAACGGTTCATTGCTCATTTGTTCGTTGTTTTGCTAAACGTTTAACCACTTCAGACACATTTAAGTGGAAATGGTAAGGAGGATAGTTTTCTTCAATTTTTGTTCCTCCCTTTTTAGTAGTTCTCAATTTATCAATATTTTCATTTTTTGATTCTTTTGCTCCTATTTGTCTGAAGTGTTAACCTAAAATGGGCCACGAATAACAAAGACCGAATATTATTAAGATTCTTATGTTGTGCTTTTTAAGGCTACGGAGGAATTTCCTCTTCTAACGGAATCTCTGAAGTTCTTCGATTCAACTGAGAGCATGGTTCGCATAGCTGTGCGTAACATTGTATTGAATATAGTCCGTGTTAATGATTCTTCGATGACAGTCTTCGTGAGAGGCGCTATCAAAGTGAGTTTCTAGACGTCGTTGCTATCATTGTTGTTGCCATAGCCTTCATGGTTTCAATTTCTGATTCAGGTGTACTTATACAATTTGGTTGATAACCTTGTTACGCAAGCCATTGAGCTAGATACTTTCGTGAGGTCGGCCGAAAATGTTATTGCGAATAGGGAGCGGCTTAGAGAAAAAGTTAGTTGTCATCGTTGTCCTTTATTTATATTCACATTGCTCCTTGCCTTTTTATAGCTTATACAATTTTCTGTGGTTTTTCTTGTTTTGTGTCCCATAAGCGGTAGTCGTTGATTTTAGTTGAATATTGGGCACTATATAGAGGTAGACAGCGTAATTTTTAATTCGAGTAAAGAAGTTGGGGTCAAATTTGTACCTCTCATAAGGTTGTTTTTGTAATAATGGGTGAATATGAACATTCCACACATTTCTCCTCCCACAAGTTTGAGCTCGTTCAAAAGAGGTTATCGGTAAAATAGAAAAAAGTCCTCTTTTTTTCGAAAGCATCTCGATTTCTTCCGTGATTTTCTTCAAGGACCAATATTCTTGAGTTTCGTGTCTCACAACTCCAGACAAATAGGCAAGCCTACTCGATCTTGTCCAAGTGCCCCGCTGAAACAGGACGCTTTATCTAAGTGCCATCATGGCATTTGACTTCATAATGGCGATTCCTACCAAATGAAGTGTGATCGCCTTGGAAACCTTCGTGTGACTCTGTGCAAGCAAGCCATTGGCGCATTAAAAGGAAGAGGAAACCAAGTGGTGAAATGGCATACGATATGCCAGTACAATCGGACTACCAAAGCTAACGATTCATTGCAAGATACCAATTCTGAACATTTCTTCCATCCGTCTGAGAACAAACGTTGTTTGGCGCCGTTATCAGCGGTTTATTTTTCATTCAGTTATCTTTTGCAGTGATCGAGCCAGTGACTACGCCATAACCTTACGTTCAGAAACGTTCGGCTTGCTTTTTCTGTGTAGTGAAGAAATCCTGCAGCTGACGTATTGGGCTCTGTTCAGAATCGCGAACAAAAGACTGCCCACGCTAAACAGTGCACTGCATGGACAAATATTGGGCACAATGTTTACAGAACTTCTCTGTAAAAACCGCATAAGATGCCTACCTTTACTGTCTACCAAGCTGTAAATGGCAACGAAAAATGCGGAGAAGAAGCAGCTGTATAAATCCTACTACAAAGGTGGTCCGCTGAATGAACCAATAGCTTTTTTTCTCAAACCACAGTCTATGGGTTGAAGACCGAGGTCGAAGGGTCTAGTCGTACTTGCAGTTCGAGTTGGAATAGGTAAGTATCGATAATGCGAACGCGATCGCGCAAGTAATATGCTAAGAAGCTGTGAGGTCCCGGCACCTTCCACTCTACGACACTGCTCCACGTAGCTTAAAATTTGAATGAGCTGGGAAATTTGCTTTAGCTTACACACACCTTGAGCTATCACCTTATCTCGCAACTATCATTCCGCTCGATGTGCACATTTCAAAGTTTTTTTTTCGGAACTAGTGGACTGCTTCCGTTCCAGCAAGTTTTGCGTTCAGTTCAAAAATGCGTATTACGACATGCTTCCAGCTTGTGGTAATATTCGAGACATATGAAAGAGGGGCGGAAGTGGTGTAGTGACAAGTGGCACGCTTACCACGCGAGCGGTCCGGGATCAAATCCTGGGTCGTGAGTCGCCCGGGCCAACCAAGCCTTCCATCCCTCCGGGGTCGGTTAATTGGTACCAGACTTGTCTGGGAGGATAAAAAACACTGACTTGTACATCGGCTGGCCCCCGCAAGTCATTGTATAGGCCACATCGCATTCAAACGCCACTACGAATGTACAAATGGAAGTAGAATGCGTGCCGCATCCCAAAAAGGGATTGATCAACGGCAAATGCTTTATCCTTTTCCTTTTATGAAAGAGCAAGTCAATCCCATAGCTACGTATGTAGTAAACTCTTGCAAACTTTCTGTACAGCAATCTTTTTCAATTTGATTCTGTCATTTATTGTCTCGTCTTCATGCTTTTCTCATAATTTTTCGTATGTTAGTTGCATCTCCGCTAGTAACCAATAAGTAAATATATTATTCATTCTTACCATCTAAATCCATTGAGTCCCTGTGTCTTAAATCTGTGTGATGTTATCGTGTTTAGGTCGATGATCTTATTGATCTCTTGCACTACATGGGAGAGCTGTTGGATGTGGATGCCATAGCTGAATCATTATCTACGTTGATCTGCTCACGCTTTCTTATTCCGCTTCTTCTGAATAGTCTTGCTCCTCGACGTCATAATAATGCTATTCTGCTGACGCCGGTTTCCAGCCTCTTCTTTTTCGCTGAATTCTTGCTGGTAAGTCGCGTTTGCGTTCCTCTTTGGTTAGAATTCCCTGCATTTTTATTATCTTTTTCGATTGTAGGATATTAACATGTAGCTAAATCACTAATCGAAGAGTTTTCTATCTTTCGTTTATACACTTCATGACTCGTCCGAGACAGGTGTCAGACTTCACGATCGCAGCCGTGATTGAGCGTGGCGCGATTCTGGCATTGCATCAATGTTGGGAGTCGGGAGGGGCGCTCAATGCAAACTACTTGGACCAACAGCGAACCTGCAACCCCCCCCCCCAATGGCAATTCCTCTGGCATTACACTAGAATCACACTCGACATTGCAATCGCTAAATCTGTCACCTATCCCACGTTAGCTCTTTTCAGGTTATTTCACACCGAGAGACAATACAAACGTTTCTTTCCGCGTTCCTGTTTGAGGATGCGTCGATTCTAGCCACTCAGTGGATAAGAGATGGTGATATGCACAGCTTACAGCCAGTGGCTCGGCCTCCTAGAACTGATACAAGGTTGGTATCTCGCATCTTGTGTATGCGATCTTTTCTTTCTGCTAGTTTTGTCCACTGATGCCGTATTTTTGAGGGTTGATGTAATAAGGGCGTTGTTGGTTCATTATTGCTGAACATTTCAGAGTGTTTTTCGATGCTTTGCTATGTGCTTTTGATTCGAGCAAAAATGATGATTACCTGTCGTTTTATGGTCTGATGCTCATTTATGCAATGTTTCAAAACAAAGGTGAACATATTTCTTCTGCATTCCATTAAGTTCGCCCCATTATAACAATGTTTTTCATTACACTACAAGTTTTCATTTGATTCGCTGTACACAGAAAGTGAGTTTCATTCGCACCTGTTGTTGTGTTTAGTTTTCGTTGTTTTTGTTGTTGCACTGAGTTTTGCAATTCTGGTGTTCTTACCTATTCCTCTTTTCCGTGGTCACGATATTTTGAAGAATATTTTGATTGCTTTATGTATGACATGTTCAGGCGATGTTGGAGAACTACTGACGGCAGCGAATCTCCCGTCCCTTTACCCCATGCTGAATCAGAGTTCTTCAGATTCAACAAAGGCGAAAAGTGGACCTTTGATAAATGTGAGTGCCTCACCCTTTAAGGAAACCGTGTGGAGAAAATGGAAAATGGTACCAGTCGAGTATTAAGCGTCCTTTTGCAATGGGAGGAACACCCCCTTATGTTCTTATCGTTAGAACGAAGAACAAAAAATGCCAATATGTATGAAAATTTTTATAAGGAGCAATTAAAATCTATTTAGCTTTCATCAGTCGATTCTTTGAATCCTCCAATGTCGTGCGATGAACGAATAATCGATGCATTGCTGTCAATTGTTGATGCTGCAGGGAAAGAAGATAGCCGTCTGCGTCCTATAACGCTGGAATTGGCCTGCTTAGTATTGAGGCAAATATTATTGGTTGTGGATCATGATCAGGTAGACTATCAAAACTCCTCCGTGATTAATTTGCTAACTTAGTAGAGCAGTCTACTCCAAGCGTTGTGTATTTTTTGTGTGGTCATATGTTTCGCTGAAAATGATAAAAAAAATCCTGTTGATCTTCTTTTTGGTGTATTTTATAGTTATGATGGAAGATTTCTTTTTGAAATTATTCAGATGCACTCATCAATTGGCAGCAAAGCGTCTCATGTGCTTTCTTGCTTCGTTGATCGCCTAGGGCTCTACGTAAATTCCGAAAATCTGTTTCTGGAATGGTTTGAGGACGAATACGCTGAATTTGAGGTGAGTTCCCGGAGGCATGTTACAGTATTCGGATCGGATTACTATTGAAGAGCAAACTCGTTCCCTCTAAAATGAATAAATGGTTTTAGGTGAACCACATCAAACTGGAAACAATAGGCTACGAGATGCTACTACCTCCTTGCAATACAGCAATGTCAGGTTTGGCCCTGCATAAGAGACTCCCAAGCGGCTTTGAGGAAAGAATTCGCACGGTACATGTTTGATCACACTTGTTTGCCTTAAAGTCTGCTATTTTCTCCATTTTGTTCATGTAGGATATTAGATTCTACAGATAACTAGAAACAAGTTACTATCTGTTCGCAACTGGGCCAAAGCTGTTGATAGGTCCAAAAAATCGCAATTTGTGACTAGTCTTTGTCAGATTATTCATTCGACTTCCATATCCGGCAGAAACTATCCAAACGGATATGTCGGGAGAGGCCGAAACTGAGCTACCACTCCAAGTTGGAAATAACTCAGCTGTTGAAGTCGGAGATTGCATCAATCTGAGTGGGTTTGGTGACCCTCGTGATATTTATATGGGTTTGTTGTGTTTTTGTGTGTAGCAGTTTGCACGAGTGCTTGCGGTAATGAATGGAAGCGTGGTTTTTGGAGTATTATAAGTGGCGAACAAATCAATGATGCTTCTTTGTAGACAATTCTGATCTGTTGTCTTGTGTGGTGGTACTCAATAAGAATGAGCGACTTTCGCGATTCCTGGTGACGGATCGACTACAACTTATACTAGTAGAGCCCGATACACGGAAAGCTGGATGGGCAATCGTGCGATTCGTCGGATTACTACAGGTAGCACCGCGATTCAAGTATAAACTCCAGTTCTTCAAATTAAAACCGTTTTCTATTCAGGATACAAATCAGTGGAGATCCATCGGATAGCAAATCTCTTCATGTTGTTGTTGAGGGGCAACCAACTCGTCAACGGGTATTTTTTTCCGCGAAATTCGGAATTTTCATCTTTCATGTTGTCTGTGCATATGGCATGTGATTCACAGAACCTTATGGTAACTTTGTAAGCATTCATTGATTCCTTTTTGAGAAACGTCAAGCACTTCTCACCGCTCGTTTCATATTCGACGATCACATCAGGTGTATGGCAGCCAAGCAACGTCTGACTAAGGTGCTACTCCTGACTTTAGTGGCCCACTGATCATTCAGCAACTAATTGAATAATTTGTTGCTCAGGGACGCCAAACAGCACGAGGGTTAAAGCTGCAGGCGATATGTGACCTTCTCGGGGTGCCACGAATAGGAACAGCATCTCCTCGATCAAATCCGTTCCGCATTGTCAAAGGGTGTGCACCAGGCAGTGTAAGAAAGCAGGTAATTCATTGGTGATCTTGATATCATCTCTTCTAATGTTCACAATATGTGCTTTCTCCCGTTATCGAAGCCAAGACGTCATCCTTCTACCGCCCAGTATCGTTCGCCTTAGTTGCACATTATTTAATCGGTTGTGCCGCTACGCATTCCGCACTTTAAACTCCATGTTTTTTTTTCGATGCATGCTTCGAGTTGACGGCCAAAGTTGTGGCCTGTTTCATGAGACCGTGCGCACTCTTTATTGAGCTTTGTCTTTTACAAGAGAGAAAGTAATCATGAAAAGCTTTCATAGACCGCGCCCACATTTTCTGCGCGACTTTTGCTTTTAAGTGCAGATTTTTTCTAGTACAGTAATCCCGAAACTACGCTAGATGTGACAATTTTGTAGCATTGTTCTTATTCAGTTCGGTTTCTCGATGATGCCACCAAGGTCGCCGTCGAATTCCGTGCCTGACGATCCAGCTCCGCGCTCGAGCCCTTCTAGCCCTTCAACAAGTGGGGTGAAGCATGTATAAAATGAACGAAGTTTGTTCATCCTGCCTAAAAATGGTATTCCTCGATGGTGCCTACTGTACAATAATGACCTCCTCTAGGTAGGTTGCTCAGGTGATCATATGTTTATGATGACTTTAATAATCTGGTTGGACTTACAAACTACAGGGTTCTATAACATACTGTTCAGTAACTAGGACCAAATGTTATCAGCAAATATAAGTAATTGTTTGTGGTGCAGAACCTCTTTTGGTCATTAATTTACTCAATTATAAGGGTTTTGTTGTCAAATCGGTTGACTAACATGGTTTATAGAATTTTGCAGTAGATTTCATGATAACTCACGTAACGAACGTTTGGTGTTAGACTACTGTATTGCCGTAAGTCACATATGTATAGTGAAAGTGGATATGTTTCGGTTTTTACAATAGAATATTTCTTAACTAAGATTCTGTCCCATTTCTTTTTACTGTTTTTATTGTAAAGTTACAGTTGTGTACATTCTTCTTCGATTATTATCACTGTTGGAAATCCTTTGTCGTCAATCATGGGCTTAAAAAACTCATTCTTTTCTTCTGCAAGCCCGTTTGGAAGCAGTGAATTTCTATGTGAATGTTAGTGAATTTTTAACAACGAGTAGTTTTTCTGCAGTTTTTTCCGATTAAAACGATTGTCCGAATTGAAAAAGTTGTTTCTTCGTTTACAAGGTTGTTTGTTCTGGTCGCGTAATGTTGTTGTGTAGTTCGGTAAACCGGTGACTGTACATGGTAACTGTACACTGAATCAATAAAAATGTCGTAAAATTTTCCAGGAAGATCAGCAGTGATCAGTCAGTGCATTTTCGCTTGCATACCTTTGCTCACATTTTCACTTCATTCCTATTGAAATGTTATTTAAATAGCCCGTTACAGCCGACGATCCTCGGCTATGGTTGCGTGATTTCTCGTGACCTCCTAAATTGCTGGAGTTGTGAGCGTTACCCTCAGTCCATAAATACAAATTACTCTGAAATGCTGAAGTGCGTTGCACGCGTAGTGTTGGCGGCAGCTGCTGGGAGAGCGCACGCGAATGACATAAATATCCTGTAGATCATTATTTTACGTGAATTGTTTGTGAAAATTTGGGAATATGGCTTTAATAAGGTGAGCGAGCGCTTAGAACCCTTCTTTTACTTCTTCCCTATAGATGTCGACGCAGTAAAGGCTGTGGAAATTTTAGAAAATTAGTCTCCGAGAGAGGAACTCGGCAGTTTTTCACCCGGAATCTCCTTCAATTTCTCTGGCTTTTCTCCTTTTATTTGCTCTATCACTGCGCGTTGACAAAGTCGATTGGTTTTCTGCGACGGAGGGATGGTATTTTTAGTGCTTGAGCAGGCAGATTACTATTAAAAAGCATTACATTTCATTTTTTATTTAGACCAAGGAGCAGAATAAGGGGGTGGGGGATCTCTGCTCATGTAGTGTGTAGGTAGAGTTCCGGCACGGTGGTTCGACGTGAGAGTCTTTAGTAGGAAGTCGTAATTGGTTATTTGGCGAAGAAAATCGTGTGGAGTGGAATTGGAAAGGATATTTTCGGATGGGGAAGTGAAACTTGATTAGGGTGTAGAAATTTTAATGAAGATTCAGAAATTCCCGAGACATTTTAGTATTTTATAGTTAATGTGTAATTTTACCTTTTTCGACGGTTTACGTACATCCCCTCAGCGCTCTTCTCCCGCTTATTCAATGGACATTTCTGGAATGAGATCTAAATTCGGGTAGGAGGGACGGGAGTCCACATTACCCTCCTCGTTGTATCGCTTTGTTATCGATGCTTGGCTAGCCTTTTATTCCGGTGCGGTTGGCTTGCCTTCAGGGATTATGACAGAGCAGAACACTTACAATCGAAGGACAGTTATGCCTGCAACACCTTGCCTATCTTGAGTTCTTGACAGAAAAGGCCAGCGACAACCAACGCATTTTTTGCAGTCATCTGCCATGACTCACATATGTGATAAACGGCAATAAAGCGCGAGTCGCAACATTTGGACAGCTAGTCACGGGAATCTTGTGGCTCCGAAGAGTGGCCAACACCCAGACTATGTTTTCGTCAAGGTTTCAAGAAGCGTTTATTGAAAGAAAATAGTGCCGCACGAAAAATTTGAGGCGAAAGCTATCAGTAAAAGCCCAACCATAGCAGTCGTGCCATGCGCTCCGACTGATTCGCAAAATTCGAGTGAATTATGAGTTATTCAGAATGGAAACCAGCAGTTTGCCAACTCCAGCTGATCTCTCGTCTTCATCATCTCAACCAGATATCAGTATACCACCGTCTATACTTGTTCTTGGCATGGCTGGCTCTGGGAAAACATCATTCGTGCAGGTACTGGTCTCTTATAGGAATCCATTCATCTCATTGGAATTCTTGTGGCTTTCTTGAAATTTATTATAAACTACAATTCTCTTCGAATTCAGCGTCTCACTGCGTACCTACATGCGAGGAAAACGCCACCATATGTGATCAATCTTGATCCAGCATGTGCCAATGTTTGTTTTACAAAGTTGATTTTGTTGAGAGATTCTGGTGTAAGTTTTGTGATGTTTCAAGGTTCCTTATCCGGTGAACATCGATATACGCGATACAGTGAAGTACAAGCAAGTAATGAAGGATTATGGTTTGGGACCTAATGGCGCAATCATAACTAGTTTGAATTTGATGTGTACCAAATTCGATCAGGTGAGACTAAACTACGAATGTTTTGACCTGATGCAGCATTTCTTAATTCTAGGTGTTGGCCATGATACGTCAGCGAGCAAATCAGTACAGCGTGCATGTTTAATCGACACTGCCGGGTCAGATTGAGGCCTTCACATGGAGCGCTAGCGGTTCAATTATTACAGATTCGTTAGCAAGTAGTCATCCTACAGTGAGTGTTATCGTCACTCATGTCATTGGTCTTGTTTGCAGCGGATTACTCCTTTTTTCCCTAACGATTTGTGCCTTCGCGGAATCGTGAACTTAAAATCTTACTTTTGTCAGAAAGAAAAATGCTATCAGTTCACGATTTTGAATGTCCGCTAATGTTCTCGCTCATCTCCTATCCCCATCGTACATGTATTCCAGTAAACGATGGATTCTTGGTATTCCTCACTTTATAGCCCTGTCGGGTGCGTTGGCCATGCGATCAAAGCAAATCAACTGTATTTCGCTGGATACTCCTGCTTCTGGATTCCTTGACGAAAACGAAAGCGCCCCTGATCTCCGATCGATGACAGAACTCTGGGCTCTAAGCATTTTCTTATCCACAGTGCGCTGGATAATGCTGCCTCTGTGCTCACGCTGCTACCCGCTGAACCCAAGTCTATGCGGCGTAAGTTAAGGCAGGAATCACTGCAGAATCAAAGAGATTTTTAAGGAGCCGGCTGTTTCTCTCCTTCACTACCCCGCCCCCGTCCCCCCTCCTTTCCCCATTGATCTGGAACGTCTCTCTCTCCTCGATAATTTGATACACTCTAGATCTTAGTCCTTCCAGTGTTGACTCCGACCTTCTACGTGTAAACCTAGCGTTTTGAATTGCTGTGAGTCATAGAGTCGCAATGGGAATCTTTTGAAAAACTTCCCGCATCGCGTCGAATTTAAAGCAACAGTTCAGGAACGGTTTCGCGGGAAAAAACCACCAATAATGAAGTTGTAGATGAAAACCAGAGACGATTAATGTATGAAAAACTGGAAAAAAACGTCGGGGAGGGTCTTAGACAGGTACTCTCCCTCTGCCGCTCAGCAATGGATAAAGACGCACGTTGGACGAGTTGTCTGAACGTGCCCGCTGTAAACGCGCTCCATTTTTCAACCAATTTTCCCTGTGGTCCCAAAACGAGCACGATTGCCGACGCGTCCAATGACGGCCGGCAAGGGGGCGGGATTGGGGAAATCCCCAAGAACACCCATGTTTGAGGGACTTTCCACCCTGTTTTTGAGTTTCTGAGGTAAGTTCGTTTATTATTTCCACTGCATATGTTCTTCACACTAGGGCTCGTGTATCCCTCAGTAGTAGTGGCATTGAAATTTTCGCCCCTCCCTGAACTGTTGCCTTAAAGGAAGTAGGTACGGAAAGGAATTTTCACATCTGCGGAGAACCTGCTCCCCACAGAGCAATTAGCAGGCCGCCAAGGAAGCGATGTGTGGCGCTTCCACTGCGAACAGTGCTGTGGTTGCTGAGCAGGACCATTGCGCCCTTCCGCCCCATGCGCCGCCCCGCCCACTGGTTTTGTTGATGATCTGGATGGACTGATTGCTGTTGGCTTTTCATTTTGGATGATCTTTTCCCATCTAGCGGCTGTATCTTCCATCTTGTATGCCTTATCAATCGAAACACTATGCTTGTTGGCATGATGGCAGGCTATCGGGGTTAACACGTCCGAACAACGTCAGTTCTTTACCGTCGCTCATCCATGGTCGAAAATGAAAGGGCAATCAAAGGGGTACTATTTTGCTTATTTTTGACGGATTTCTTTGCTTTTTTCGCCATTGGCGTACTATTGAGACCCCCTCGTCCCCTCCAAACCACATTTAAACCTATCGTAACCGCTGCCTTTAAGTTCGTGGCAAAGTATGCTGGGCGAAGTTATTACTGAATTTCAGACTAGGCTGGCCTCGCGTTTTTTTCCATTCCGACTGTTTTCGCCGACAAGTAAAAAAAAAAAAAGTTTTGCTGGGAGTTGGGCGGAGCTTGGACAGCGGCTGCGGAGCGGCGTGTTCTAGATGGTGTTCCTATTCCTTCCTCTGTAGGAGAAATCTCATGGGCTACGCGGTTTTTCCCCAGCAAATTGCTTAAGACGTTTCAGTAAAAAACAAAAACTCAAGGCACGCTGAATCGTTCACGCGGACCTCGCGCGGGCGGTTGAAATGAGGTTATATAGTCGTGTGAATCTTGGCTCTGACGGTCCACACATCGGTGGAATACCTTGAAGAGAGCACAGTAAAGGTCGTGAATGACATTCTCCATTGTTTTTGGCGCGCATTGTTCCATCCGGACGTCGGAGGTAGCCATTTTGACCTTATGGCCGATGAGTCAGCGGTCAATGCGATGCTCCTCCCTGCTTCATCCTGCTTTGCGTCTCATCTCCTTGAGGTGGCCCCCTTATCGCTCATATCATAGCTTTGCTAGCTAGGTATCGGCTCAAGAGCATATGGAAGGTAGTCGTCTCATGAAGATTCGAATCTTGCTGCCATCCTGACTTTGTAAAGGAGGCGTCTAAGCAGTATTTAGTAAATGATGGCATGGGTGTCAATTTGCGCGATTTTCGCGACGATTTTCGCGATTTGCGCGACGGTCACGGAAATCTCAAGTGCCTCATTCAATACTGCAAGGTGTTCTCTTCCACTTGCTTCATATTCAGTGTTTCAATTGTTCAAATGGGCCACTTGCAATTTTTGTGATCCGCGCGATCTCATGGTCATCCTCATGGTCAGTTCAGAATAGATGCAGTTCCGTCCCTGAACGAATGAGCATTTCAATGAATAATAGACATAACATTAAACGAGTAGAATCACGGGCAGTCTTCCTTCAATTTCCAGGATTAAACAGCACCTCGCAGTATTCATCGGGGCACCTCCAACTCCTGTGACCCATCGCAGGTTTCGCAAAAATCGCGCAAATCGCGAAAATCGCGCAAATCGAATCGCGGACTCTGACACCAGCCATAGATTGTTTTTTTCATATTTGACAACGAACTCTTCATAAACTGTAGACGTGAAAGAAATCGCTCTGCGAATGGCTACTGCCGAATCAGCGAAAACTCTCTCCTGGACAATGAATCCATTTGTTCACCAGTCAAACCATCAAGGGTTCTGAATGGGTGCCATAGGATGTTGTTGAACCCATTTGTGAAAGAATGCTTCGCGTAAATTTCGTCGTATCGGTAATTGTGATTGGACGACGCGAGACTGTAAAACCGGAGACGACTCACACCTTTATGCAGAATATCAGATATTCGGTAGGATTGTCATGCGATGTTATATGACCATATGACGAAGTGCATCTTGAAGTGGGCACCACTGCCTACATCGCATCTTTTTGCCGAATATTATAAGCTAGTCCACTTCTTCTCTAGTTTCAAACAGCATATCACAGGTGGTGTCTTCTCACCTCGCTATGGTGAGCGTCCATTTGACTAATGCAGCACTATCAGAAAGTCGTATAAGCCATCGGAATGGCAAGTGTCTACAAAGGAGAATCTGCCATGTATTCTCTCGTTTTGGCTCGGGTTTAGACCTTACCCGCCTTTCTCATAGCGATCCATCCAAGGCTGCCGTGTTACGTGCTCTTCATACTTAGTGAAAGTGGTCCCTAAAACTATGTATAGTTGTATTATTAATGCATCATTTTATATCAATATCATCCCCTTCAATTATATCACTATTGCCGAGTACTCACGAACTTGAAAAACTGTGACTTTCACACCGATAGTCGTCTATGTTGTTGATTCGGCACGTGCACAAATCCCACGACTTTCATGTCAAATATGCTCTACGCTTGCTCTATTCTGTACAGAACTAAACTCCCATTCATTGTTGTATTCAATAAGGTAAGTTTTTATTTTGAATATTTATTGGATGAGTGGTATTCTGGTTGCATAACTAATTTACTTGCGCAGCCAGGTGAACAGCATTGAAAGACTCATTGTACTCTTTGGTTTGTTTACATCCATACAAGTTAACAGGTGAAGTCTATAAAGCGCCCTCATGTTTGAAAGTCGTCGTTCTCCTAGGCTTGTATGTGATTCATTGTTAAGATTTACAGCGTACATAATGTGTTCCGCTTAGTTTCTGAGGTCTTTAACATGCGCGCACGTAGCGCCATCGTTCGTTTTTGAACTATTGGGAACATTATTTTTTTGCAATCTCAGATTCAGACGGTTTAACGTGATGTATTTTAACAGGCCGATATAGTCCTCACCGCTTTCGCAAGGAGTTGGATGCGAGATTTTGAGCGTTTTGATCAAGCTCTGGAAGAGAATCGAAGTTCATATATGAATGACCTCAGTCGCTCATTGTCTCTGGTATTGGAGGAATTTTATTCAGATCTCAAGACAGGTAATATCAGGATATCCAACACAGGCTTTCATTTTCCTTTCAGGATAGAGGGATTTTCGATTGCTCGAACCCGTTTCGATATTTATTAAAACGGACATTTTATAGATTCCATATGCGGACAGTCATGATTAGGGGTTATCCCGGTTGAAGTTGTAGCCAGAATGGCATGGTATTCAGTTAATCCAAAATTGGATCAGGGAGACGGTAGGGTGCTGGTATCTTGGAAATAGCAAAGCACGGTACCAATTCCGTTGCTGTGTTAACCTGCCGGCTTGGTTCTTGACCACGTTGATCCTCGTTGCTAAGCTATAGGCACATTCACTTGGCAATTGCCTAGCACTCGCATTGTCATTACATTTATCGTCAATTTATAGAACACCAATGGGCTGCCGCATGTTTTTTGACCCAGGCGCCTAAACTGCTAATTGCAATGTCCACGACATTATGAAGGGGTTACCGAAATTGAATATTCGCCCATTCTCGTGCACGCTCACTCTGCACGTCACAAGCGTTTGACGTCCCCTCCTTGGTAGTTCATATCACATTTATCCAACTTTGACCTCTCGGATCGAATGTAATGATTTCTAGATAGCTCTTAACTCAAGAATACGCCCATTGCAGACGCGCCCATTTACTCTTCTTCCACTTTTGCATTTCCCTTATCCAACCTGGCACTTGTTGCACACCATTCCCCATTCCTTCCATTTTTTTCTTGTTCTTTTTGTTTTTTGTGTCTTTCCAGCCTTCGCTGAAATAGCAATAGATGCCTTCCGTGCCACCCATCGAGCGCTACTCCCTAGCCTATGAGTTGCTTCCACTCCGAACCATGCATACCCCGTACATCCCATGCCCCACGCGACACCCCTTCCAGTTTGATCCGTCTACCTCCAGATATATTTTCGGGTTAATTCATAGTCCCGAATTTCCAATGACAAACGACATAGAATGTAAGCAGCAACAAGCCTGTACATATACAGCTAGGCAATCCTTTCTCACGGAGTCAATTCTCCTAATCATTATGAACGTGCCGTCCTGCATTTTTGATGCGGCCGTCAAACTGCTCTTAATGCTGCTGTTACGAATATGCTTACCATTTCCTGTGAAACTTATTTCCATATGTTTCGGAACCTATTGTATGCAGCAATTTTAGTACGGTTTCTTCGGCAACTGGTGAGGGCATGGATGAGTTCATGAAAGCAGTTGGCGAGTGCGTGGAACAATATAAGAATGAATACGTCCCGATGTATTCCCGTGTTCTAGCGGAAAAATCGAAGTTGGATGAACAAGAAAAGCAGAGAAAGTCGAATGAGGTATAATTTGGACTGGCAGCCATGTTCACAACTGATCGAAAATGTTTGCTGTCAGTTTTCAAAAAATAATTTTCCAGATTTCCGATAAAATGGAGGTACTAAGCGTACATCCCACGTTAGATCCGCCCATAAGAGAGCGTATTCACCTCGGGGGTGTGGAGCAAGAGAATGCTGAAGATGCCAATGTGTTCTTCGTGGGTAAACTAATTTCTACACGGAATGCATGTGCTAGAAGTCAAGTATTATGTGCACAGAACTTTTTCCAATTCATTGTTGAGGCGATTCCGGTGTTTTGCGAGTTAGTGATGCGTGTTATGTTCTTTGCTTGTAATTTGTTGAATTATTGATTACGTTAATGTTGTTACAATGTTGGGAATGTGAAATAAAGGTTTCCTTTAACATATGTCACTGCGTATTACGTTTAAACGTGAGACATTGTATTGGCAACGTTTTAATGGCTCCTCTTAAATGCAATCCAATTTTGAATAATCCTCAGATTTGGTGGCCCGTGTGGATCTGGTGATACATGGGTGACAAGACGTTTCATAAGGTACGTTTGTTCCATGGTCTTCATTACAGACACCAATGAGTTTATTCATTTTATCATATTTTACCGTCGCTTTTTCCAACTTGAGTCCATTCCAACATTCACCGAGTATTACACAATGCACCGATTTTTTTCATCTGAATTATTGATGTATTTACACATTTGTCATTTCGCAAAATTTCACAGCGTTTCTGGTAGTAGGTGTTTTTATTCTTATGTTAGATATTTTCTTGACCCTACATTTATTAGTCGCCAATCCTAATGGGTTGAGTCTATGTTCTCTTATTGTTCCCATCAGAATTGAAAGAGATCAATTTTAATCCTCGACCTCATCATTCGCTGTTTATTTACTTATCTAGAATCAATTTCAGGCCTCGGTACTGCTGGGGCGAGCGGGTGACGCTCCAACAGTGGTCGAAGCGGTACAATTCGCATGGAATACTGAAACAAATAAAGTATGGGTCAGTGAAAGACGGTATCGTCATTTTCTGACGTATGACATTCGCATACCTTCTTTCATGTGGAGTAGCACACCGTGAATTTTATTTATCCTTTTATTTGTTCATGAGTTCAACAGAGACACCTTATTGTTGCAAACGCGAACGAAATAAACACTGCTATTTTTTAGAAATTGTAGCCGAAAATAACCAGTGCTGCCGAAAAATGAGCAGCACTGATTAAGAAAAGTCATAACAGGAAAACGCATGGGGTCAATAGTAATTCATCAGTGGTTAGATAAAACAGAAGGGCATGCACTATTTAATATGGTCTCTACCATGACAATCACAGGCCGTTGTGAGGAGCTTTCAAACCCAAGTACACCGGCAGTGATTCTGGTTAGCCTAAAAGGTCTCATCGATCCTCAAGGGAATAAGTAGGTGTAGAGTTGATTCTCGAGCAGTTTCTCCTACTGTACAAGTAAGACTGATCAGGCGTGTCTTGAATTAACCTTTGACGCGTTTTTACTGTAACGCGATTGAAACGCGATTTAGAAAAGTTGAAGCTTTTGCTGATTTACTCAGGTTTCAACGCAATCTGGACTTTATCTGTGTAGCAACAGTACAAACATTTTTTTCTGATTGGTTAATGTTTTAGGTTTCTGAGTTGTATCGGAGTTCAACGCTAGATGAACTCGTTCATAATTCCCATCTTGCCGCAAAGCATTTCCAGGTAATGTTGATTTGCAGCTGTACGAAGGCTTTCGAAAAGGGCATAGCCTGACTGTTTCTGAAAGGTCTGCTTCCAGGAAGTTGGGTTAATGGAGAGTGCCGTGCCTTTGATTGACGTTGCCCCGTCCAGTAATGGTTATATTGTCAATTTTGTAGTCAAAGAACCAAAGGTGAGTCTCTAAGGCTTTCATCTAATTTTTCTACCTTCTCAAAAAAATTTTCTACCTCCTTCAAAAAACGAAAACCTAGAGCAACAGAAAGTGGCGTAGTTGCTATCTCCCCGCTAAGGCTGGGTTTTTTTTTTTTTGATCCCAAAATTCTTCTCTTTCTCTGGGTGTAATTAGAGCATCTCTAGAATGATTGTAGAGAAAAATCTGTTCAAGTGTCTGTATAGGTCTAAACTCTTTCAGAATCCATCTGAATAAAGCAGTCCAGGTTATGCCCCATTATGTAAGTGCGGAGTTTGAAAATTAACGTGGAGAAGCAAGTTGTGCGACTTCTTTCATCACAGTGATGTGAATTTTCTTTGCGTGACAAAGTATCTCATTTCCTGCATACTGTTCTCCTGATGAATAACTAGAACGGGCGAGTGATTTGCTATTTCTAATATTTCTAGGCGTTTAGTTTGGGGCTGAAAGCTGGTATAAGTACAAATGGCGATGCTGACATGTCACTGAATGCTGGCAAGCAAAGCGTTGGAGGACGTGGTGAAGCGATCAATTCTAGTTACACGTACACGGTCAAAGTGGGTTTTTTCATTGATGCTGCATGTTAACTAACACGTTTCCTATTTTGTCCTTGTTGTGTGACCTTGTATGTTGAGATTTGTCTTACTCGTACATTTTGATTCGGAACTTTAGGGGGACCACAGTTTCAACCTCTCTTTCGCGAAGCCTTTCCTGGGTTGGCAAAAGTACTCAAATGTCACAGCTAGTCTTGTCAGAGTTAGCCAGTTACCTAATCGAAGAATCATAATCTGAGCTAAAATGCGCCCTTTCCAGAGCGATTTCGTATTTGCCTTGGAATCATTCCAACTGTGAGGAAAACGCCATAATTTTCGGCTATAATGGACGAATATCGAAAAATATTCTGCATCAAATTAAGTTCAATACGGTTAGGTTGAAGCCTTTCACATACTCTCTCGATCGTTGCGATGAAGTGATAATGGTATTTAGTTGTGGAGAACACTTCGGGCTACAGACGATGCAGCGTTTCTCGTTCGTGAACATGCCGGTCACACCACAAAATTCTCAATAGAAAATGCCATCGGATTTGATAGCCGAGATCGTCCTATACTTGCTTCTAAAGGAATACTTGGTAGGTTTTTGATGCGTAACGGTCCATTTTGTGACATCTTGACCATATGTTTATGCATTATCTGCCATACAAACTTTTTCGGCAAGGAGGTGTTAGAGGTTTTATGACTGATGAACTTGAACATTAAGCTCGATACATCAAAATATGCTGGCCGTGTGCATTCTTATCCATAAGACATCAAATAGATTTGCAGGTATATTTTTTAATTGCTTTGAATAAGTGTGAAGCGTGTTTGATTAAGAATCCGACCAGATGTAAGTCGAAAAAACAGGAAGTAGTGACATATAACTTCGTATAATGTATCAAGCGAAAATCTTTGTAGTCGTTACAGACTTCGTAACTACAGTGAGCAGTCGATGCAGGTCTTGATCTTCACGCCAAGCGCCTGCTATGTAATAGTTGCAGCTGCACCAAAATTCCGTTTAGATCTAGTAAACTCTGGTTAACATTCCTGCATCACTTCATTGTCTTCTGATTCCTGCAGTAGGAATAATATCGCGAAGTGTCGTTAATCTATTGAAACAGGCTGCTGCACCGCTCCCGTTCGGCTTTATCCTCTCTGCATCGGCTCAGTTGAAAAACGTGAAAGGTTTGGGAGATCGCGAAATCCATCTGCTGGACCGAATGTACCTGGGTGGTCAGCAAGACGTGCGTGGATTTGGTCTCAACACGCTTGGTGTGAGTTCGTCGTGCTCTTTTCAGAAAGGAAATTTCACGGTGTTCTTAGAAAAGTTTCATCAGTATTGCTTTAGGTACGTTCTGAAAACTCGTGCTTAGGCGGTGTGGCGCAGCCGCATGTGGGGTAATTCATCTTATCGTCCTCTATTTCCACCACAGGTTTGTTCTTGATTGTCTTATTTTGGGCTAAAAATGAAAAGGAGGATACTGATTTGATTCTTCATCGTTGCATCCGAAGAATAGCGTTTTGCTGACATTTGGGCTTTCAATGCATCCAAACATAGCAGCTTCTAAGTACTTCATTGCTGCGCAAGAAATTTCGGTGAATGAATCGAGATAGGAGATAAATAAATGTCGCGATGAATTACATTTTCAACCTTTTCATATAATTTACTACTGGAAGTATTAAATTTCGTAGTATGTATCCATTCGCTGGAAGCATTTTTCGCAAATGTGGTGGCTATGTGTAAGATTCGGTCAATATGATAGAAAGGATCATTACAAGTTCAAAATGTATTTCATATAGTAAGACAGAAATGGAGTGTTTTTTATGAGTGAAATACAGAGTGCGCCATAAATATGGTAACGAAGTAATTATGGCAAGAAAAAACGCCTTTTCAAATGGTACGCACGAAACTCCGCAGGTGTTTACAATTCTCCTCTGAACGGAAAGTCTGTATATCAGTATTGAGCCTTCTTCCATGTGGTGCCGTTCTTGGTAGTGTTAATTCCAAATAGTATCCTTGGGATGATTTTTCGGTCACAGGGGGCAGGACTAAATAAAGAATAAGGTGGCAAGAATCTAGGTGTTTTGGAGCTCTAATTTTTCTTCTTACTGTACTCCAAACAACGGCACTATTTACAAACTTTACTGCCCCACCCTCAAGAACTGAGCCGGGTTTTGATCGAAATTCGTCCATGATGACTAAGGATTTGGCTAGCAAGTCGTTTCCGGGGTATTTCGACCCGTCGAACACGAATATCACACCGGATTAGCGCGACAACGCTTGTGCCCTGCGCCACGACGCCGTGCTCTATCACAACAGTTTTGCGCGGGCAGCCCTTAACGCAGGCTACAGGCTCACTCGCATAGAACTAATGTGATATTTATGTTCCACGATTCAAAGTACCTTTGGAGACAAGTTTCCAGCGAATTTGGTGATCCAAGATGTTCTGGCGCCTTTTAGCGCCGGCGCTTCTGACGCGAGCGCCAGGCGTTCTAGCGGTAAACAAATGTGATATTCGTGTTCTACGGGTCGAATTACCCCCGAAGGCAAGTTTCTGGCCAAATTCACAGTCAATGACCAATTTCGATAAAAACCCGGCTCAGTTCTCGAAAAGTGGGGCAGTAAAGGGTAAATAGTGCCCAATCGTCTCTGAAAAAAGTGACATGTCGCGTGTTGGCGTAAAAGCGTACTTCAAGCTCCCACGGGCTGTAGACTGCTCTCAGATTGCGATTGGAGCGACTGCCTCTAGTTTGCCAAGATTCCGCACGTGCGCGAATTCCGGTATTTTAAAAATACTGAAATGCGAACTCGCAAAGTAGTACCTCACGACCGAACGTAAGCTGGGTCTCCGAAGTTCTGCCCCAGCCCTAGCCTAATCCTCTCCTTACCGTAACCCTGACCCAGTTCCTGCTCCAACCCCAACTTAACCGTACCTTCTTAGGTCGAGATTGGCGGGTGGGCCTTCGAAAAGAAATCTTGCACTTTGGATATGAGCTTTGCTTTGCGATTCCAGCAATTTCCATCGTCTCAACAATCGTGGCAATAGCGGAAATCGCTAATGGTAAACTAGTGCCAGTTTCTCACATCGCAAAGTCTAACACTAACCTAACTCACCGGAGACAACCACATTCCAGTAATTGTATGCAATATGTATATTTGCACGGGCTTCATCATGTCTCATTTCGGAACATGGGGTTCTGCTCCGTAATTGCTTCGATATACTACTCCCTGTGGTTCAGTATTTTCCGGTTTAAAGTTTTCATTTCAGATGCTGTTTGCACATGTGTTTCATCAACAGGAGCGTGCTCCGTCCGATCGCGACCATAATCATGCCGAGATCTACAGAATGCACTAAAGCAGTATCCATGGTCTGTAAGTAGAGATCTCTGAAAATTCTAGCGTGTTTTGCCCTTCGGCGAAATGAATCTGAAGATGATAATGGACTCAGCGAAGAAAGAGAAAGTAACACACATTCGAAACACTAGAAGTGAACTTTCTGGATTCTTGGATGTGCGTGTTTCCACTTCATCGAATGGAAGAGGCCTTTGACATCAATCCGAAATAAGCGTCAGGAGGACTTAGCCTCAGATAAGGGTTCTTACTGCAGGGCGTAAGGTATGCTTCCCCGAAGGGTTAGGGGACGAAAGTTCCTTTAAATTTTCTCTGTAGTCCCAACTGGGATTGTCCTGATAAAGGGCCTACATCTAATATATGTGTGTAGCTTAAAGTAAGCATGCATTGAAAATAAAGAAACAGTATCGTTCAAAACAAAAAATTTAAAGGGACTTTCGTCCCCGCAACCATTCGGGGAAGCATACCTTACGGCCCCTGACTGGAGAATCTTGATGACTTTACAGCACTACCCATCGCATGTTCACCGTTGCTCAGCAGAATATCCGACGAAAAGAAGAGGGGAGTCGATAGGGCGATGCCATCTTGCCTAAATTCTTTCAGCATCGCTCTCCAGCTCGTCATGCGTATGCTGGAATGCGAAGACATGAGATTCAAGGTCGCGGGCCGAAATACAACCACCTTCCTTTGCTGGCAGGATCGTGCTAATAACCCCGAACATCGAGCAACCAGTGTTCATACTGGCTGATTTCTATCGCGTTCGTGGTAGGGTAGGGCCAATTAACAGCTGAATTCAACGGAGACGATGTTGCTGAGTTCTGATGCCTCATTCACACTCAGTGGAAGAACATCTCGCGACGCTTCGAATACGTTACTGTTCGGTCGAGCGCTATATGAAGATTTACTCCCAGACGTTGAAGCAGGTGTTATAGGGACGGGACGGTGCTATTTTCGCCAAGGACTGGAAGGTCAGGGCCGGAACCGTCATGCGATTTTGTGCTAATCGTTGGACCATAGCGGTTACCGACTAGATCCCTCGAAAGGTCGAACGACGTGCTCGGATGGTATGGTAGGCGCTATATCATGGGTGTTGCCGTGCCATAGGTATGGTTTCAAAGTAATTATCAAACAAAAAAGCAACTCAAACCGAAATGCGATGACAATCCACTGATATTTGTGATGCGTCGTAGCACAGAACAGCTGCAAGGGATATGGATGCTCCTGGCACAAGTTACGGCTCGTGAAAGCTTGCTGTACACTCCATGGCAGCACACAGGTTTCTCATATAAGATTTCGGCTCTGCCTTTTTTAAGTGACTTCTGCAAGATTTTCAGCTGCAGTGCGTTCAAAGCGCTAATTTAACTTTACAAAATAGGTCCACTTGGTTGAAGTCAGACAACCTTGCTTTCTAGTGAAACCCAGAACTAAATTCGGGAAAATTGGCGCTTCACATAAGTCGCGATCGAACTGCTGTGTTATTGCTCTCCAAAGGAAGATAAGAGATGGAAAGAAGACTGTCAGTAAGGAAAACAAAAATAATCATTGAAGAAAAAGAGTGAAGAGTGTGACATATCGAGTGCCACCACCAAAGCGCGCACCCTATGCTCTCACGAGTTGTAGTGGTAACGGAGGCAAGCATATTTAAGAGCTGAGCGGATATCCAGTTGCTTCAAAGTTGAAAGGTGTGTGCTTCTGCTATAATACTTGGTCACCTTATTTATGGCGCATTCCAGATAGCTACATCGTCCAAATGGGCTGGGCTTGAATTAAGTCGTTTTCCCGAGAAAATGTGAAAAGGGTCACATCTCATAATTTTCTTAGGAGTATCGATTTGAACTTGATGAATATAAATCTTAGGGGTAGACACCCTCCTCCTCGTTCGCCACAGTCTTTCAGATGTCTGGATGCGCGTATTCTAATAAAGCTCGTTTAGAGTGGTGCTAAGAGCATTGTTATGGAAGAAAATTCAAATTTTTCGAGCCAAGTCCGAGCACTGTATTATAACTTCAGTCCGGTACCATTCGTACCTAGTAAGTAGCTGCCCTCACCCCCCACCCCCTAGACTGCCTTCACACCCCCTGGCTCACGGGGTCCCGTACATCGAGAAACCTGTGCGCCAGGGGGAGTGTAGGCAGCTACTTACTAGGTACGAATGTAGCGCGACTGAAGTTATAACCTAAGTCAGTCCGAGCACTCTCAAGATTTTTTTTTGATTTTCGGATTTCAGTATTACTTTTTTAGGAGTTGCGTTCATTTTCCGAAACATTTTCCGTCTTGAAATCAATTACGTCGCACCGATCAAGCATTGTGAAGGTGACAGTCATTCAACTGGATTGCATATCGGTTGCGGTATCAACTTTTTGTAGCCTTTTAATATGCAATGTCAGGTACTGTAATACTGCCCTGAAAAGACGTAGGTAGTTGTTTTGACAGATACTCGTATGATTGTTTTATTTTCAAAGTTTTTTTTTCGTTCAACATCTGTCGATAGCACTGTAGTTTCTTGGAGCCTTCTATTATTCTACGTATGCAATTTTATTAATAGTGAAATTAAATAGACGTCATGAAGAACAAAGCATGTGATGTCGTAACTTTTCTCTTGTCTAAGTGATGATTGTTACTGTTTTTATAGTTAAGAAATTTTCAGCTATTATTTCATTTCCATCTTCTATGTTTTGTCGAACTGCACTTTGCTCACGTTAGAATTCTAGGTAGAATTCATTTTTTTATTTGCAAATCATCTAAAGGCCATGATAATCGATTTGAACTGCACCGTGATGCACGAGCTCCATGGGCCGGCAGCGCGTATTCTAGTCAGTCTGCAGTAGTTTCATGTTTTGGAATCGGATTCTTTGGCAAGCCTTTTTTGAGTGTTGGCAGTTAATGTAATGTTAATAATTCTCTCTATTATAAAGCAGTAAGTATTAATATAATGTAGAAGATTATATGGAAGCTTCTTGTCGAACCAAAGACTTTGGCTTTTTCAAAAAAATCCTCACATATAATAAGACTCCATTTTGCCCTGTTGCAAACAAGCTGCACGTGCATCGAAGTTTAGCGCATTTCATTTCGACAGTGCGGCCTAAAAGTTTTGCAAATAAGTAGATTCAGTAGATTGAGTAGATAGATTTATGAATTTTTTAGTGATAGTTGCCGTTCACTCTTTGGTCATCTGTTTGTTATGGAATTGAGATGCAACGTAATAGTTGGAACGGCGACTGCTTATTTGAATGAAAATTCGTACAGCTTCTGTTGGTATAGATGTAGGAAACGGTTATCCACGTGATGCTATCTGTTGTGTGATGTGAATGTATGGGAGTTGGCAGTAAAATATTCTGGAAAGATATTAATTTATTTAAAAATTAGTAAGTTATATTCTGATTCCTCTCTGAGTTTCGTTATATTTGTTGATTAGCAACATTGGTTGAGTCGCGCACGATTACTGCACTACCTTAAACCAAACTGGTAGTCCTGATGTGATCCTGTGAACCAATTAAACTAAACATTAGGCGACGTTTTGATTTTTGACAGAATCAAGGAATTTTCACTAGAGTTTTTGGGACGGTCATAGTCTAACAGAGTTCAGGGCTTCGATTTTGATGGCTTCTCCAACTGCATCCCATCCGCTTCCTTTTTAGATAAAAGTTCACATCATTCGCGCGCTGAGAAATGCGTGATTGCGGTCATCAGTAATGCAAACCTCTTGTTACTGTGAGAAGGCGAAAAATGTTTACATCGCAAATATGTCCGATTCATCTCAATAAGACCGACGTCATAGTCGGGGACGGACCTTAAGCGATGAGCGATACGATCGCGTATCCGAGTGCCGATCGCTCGACTCCGAGAGTCGATTGCAAGCGATAACCAGTTGGCGCCGCACGCATTGCGCGCGCAACACAGATCTGCGGCGAATTTTGATGGTGCGACGAAAATTTTCAAATTTGGCTTGATACACCACGAATATCTGAATTCTCAGCTAAATTCTATCCGCTCCATCATCGACGGCTTTCAACCTCTTTTCTTCGTCAACCATTATCCTCTTTTTCCCGGTCTCCGGACTGCTTCCGGACAATAAATCTCGTGGCAAACTCCGCCTACTTCGGTGCGTGCCCCGCCCACCAATAGCATTTGGCCCCTTCCTTTCGCCGACCTCTACCCCTTTTTTCACCGGTCTCTGGGACCTCTTGGAACCAAATTACGATTGGAATAACCGAACTGGCAAACTCCGCCCACTTTGGTCATGCCCCTCCCACCATTGACAGCTGGCCTCCACTCCTCCACCCACCTCCATCCACCTTTTCCGCGGCCTCCGGGACTTCTTGGAGCCGAGTTATGAATTTTCGTCGCAAACTCCGCCCACTTTGGTCAGGCCCCGCCCACCATTGACAGCTGGCCTCCACTCCTCCACCCACCTCCATCCACCTTTTCCGCCGGCCTCCGGGACTTCTTGGAGCCGAAGTCATGAATTTTCGTCGCAAACTCCGCCCACTTTGGTCAGCCCCGCCCACCATTGACAGCTGGCCTCCATACACCTCTATCCACGTTTTTCCGGCTCTCATACATTACTTCCCGGCCCGAATTATGAGGGCTTGTAGAAAATGCTGTACACTTCAGAGCGCGCCCCGCCCATTCTGGGCGGGCCTCCGCCCACGTCATGTATGCAGGAAACACCTTAGACATTGCTCCCTTACACCAAATTGTTTTCTGCTCTGTAGGCTTTCTCCCAACCGAGTTATGAAATTTTTCATAAAGCACTGCTTTTTTAGAGAACGCCCCGCCCTCCGGGGGTGGGTCTCCCTAATTCTCGATGAGTTACCAATGCACACCTTCACTCACACTTTTTGGCCCAGTTTCGAGGTTGTTTTTTCACTGAAATCGAAATCTTGGTCTTTGGTACAATTCATTTCGACGCACGCCACGCCCTCTGTGGGCGGGGCTCCGCTTAGCTGATGTGTGTTTTGTATTACGTGAGACCCTGCCCACCCATCCCACACTTGACCCGGTCCCTCCAGGCGGATCCCGAGGAGCTAGGGAATTTCGTGACAGACACACAGACAGACGACAGACGAAGCGCTTTATAGTTAGTAGATGCCTAGAACACGAATTTGATCACTTTCATCCAGAGTCAACCCTACGTTGGGCGGAGACGCAGACGGCTCGAGCATGCGAGTGTGAATGTTCGCGCGAGAGAACGTGTCTAATCGGGCAAAACTGCGCAACGTGACCGTTGAAAACTGCGCAACGCAGGGTTGACTCTGCCTACCTCATTCCTTTTATCTAACCTCTGTTTCGTGCAGCCAGAAATCCACGTGGCACACGTGGCTAAATTCTCGATGAAAAGATGACATCACGTGTGCTTAAAGATGTTCTTGAATCGATGCCACGTCAATGCCACGTCAATTTCTGCAATTGCACAACTTCTGGTCTTCTGAAGGCGAGGTTACATGCTTACGTCAATGAAAAAAAAAGACTAGGGATGAACTGGACAAACATTTTCGTAAGGCCTTGAAAACTTCTGCCATATCAAAGAATAGCGCATCAGCCTGTCGTCAACGTGCTGACTGGTACCGTTCAACCGGCCAGCAATGA